AACGATATTGCAACTACCAAAATTATTGGAAATTATCAGACGAAGAAGATAAATTAGTTTTTGTTTTATGTGCTAGATTGAAACCGTCTCTGTTCGATGATAAATGCATGTTTCAAAGTGATGCATTATGCGGTGATAGTGCAAATGAATTTTATGAAATTGGTCAAGTACGTAATCAAGTTTTTGCTGTTTCGTCCGTTCTTATAGCTGGACGAACACGTCGAGTAAATAAAATAATGACATATAAACTATCGTGGATGAAAAAGAATTATTATGATCCCATGATGCGTTTGGCAAATCGATTTAATCCACCGTCTCGAGTAACCGTAACATATCGAGATTCAGATTGTATTATTGCATAAAAACTAAAATGAATATTATACAGAAAAGTCGTGACACTTGATTATCATCTTATTTCTGTAGTTTTTCTACGTATCTATGAATGGTTTCAGTAAATTTAAAAATTTTTATGTACAGAAATATCTGATTGTTTGTAAAGAATTGTTCGAAGAAGAGACGAAACGGTCGATTATGTGTTCGAGGATGATCGCGATCGCTAGTTAAATATCTGAAACGATCTCATTGTAAAATAGATAACCGCGAATGACACGTTATTCATAGTAACTTTTTTTCTCCAAACTATTCATCACTGAATGTATTTCATGAAGGTGCAAGGACGTTAGTTAAATTTTAGCTAAGTGAAAGCTATTTAAAAAGGTAAGAAAAGTTTCTAATGAACTTTTTAACTTGTAAGGAAGAAAAATCCACTGGAGATTTTTATCATACAGAGGAACTTTCAGACGAATTTTGTTTCATTTTTTGAAAAACTCATCTAAATGTGCTTTTTGCTCGAAAAAAGAAAAAGTGCGTCAGGGAACATTCGTTTTCTCCAATTGAATAAAAGACGCGTGTGCACGCTCCTCGGTTCTCAGACGCATTCAAACATGACTCGAGCATCTGATTAAAAACCGAGAGCGCTCGAACGCGTCTAATTTTTTTTCAAAGATAGTTGCATCTATATTCGCGTTTGAGGCCAGATATTGTCTTCAACGCATCTAGACGTGCTCCTTTTGTATCATTCGCCAAATGAAAGGTATTTGCGTTTAGACGCGTCTCAGATTTTGTTTAGTGTATTTAAACGCGTTCAGATGGATTTTTCATATCGATACGAGAAAGTCCACGGTACGTCAGCGTGCATTTAGAAAAGAAACTTATATGCGTATAGACGCGCATGTGAAGAAATACTTTTGAAAGAAAGAAAGACCTTGTATATCCTGAAATACGACTGGACTCGTCTGTAATTCAAAAGGAACTTCCATAAAAGAGAAAATCGCTTCTAGATCCGCCAAAGAAAAATTATCTTTGTCACTGAGTTTTTGCAAAGTATTTCCTATAAATATTCATTTATTTCCTGCCAAATATAACTCTGAATTTTCTGAGATTTTTTTTTCTGAAGTTCGCAATCTACAAAAACAAAATGATATATCTCCCAGCTCTTCACAATGTTTTCTGATACAGCTCTGATCATTTTGTTGAAAGCCATGAAAAAAAGTGACGTTCGTTGTGCGACATTGCTGACTCAACTCTTGGGCTAGTGTACACTTTGACTCTTCCGAAAACTTCATTCAATCGAATCATGAGTATCTGTAGTGGAATTTTTGGACCCCATCGGATGAAGTTTTCATGAAGTCCTACTACAACTAGCTTAAAAACTGTAATACGAGAACCAGATTCAAAGCTTTGTCAAATAAATTTGAGCAAAAATGGATCGTTAAAAATAAATTTATGGATATGGAAGAGTGTTGCTTCCTGTTAAAGCTCTTTTTTTCTTGTGTAGGACATTGAGGACAGTTGTTCTTTCTGAAATCATCTGTCACAAGCGGCTAATTGTGTAATATATGAATTATTTTGAACTCTAAGGAAGCATTTGGCGAATTTTTATTCCTAAATGAATGTTTTATATATTTTGGCGCAAAAACATTTAAAAAATATTTCATTAATCTGAAATTCTAATTCATCCTCCAGAGCATGACTCTTTTACACTTCTCAGCCGGACTAAAGTAAAACTTAACCATTTTTAAATATTATAAGATTTGAATACTGAACAGAAACCGTTTTTCCTGTGATTTGGTACAAATAGCTATAGCAGTATACTTACTTCAATTATAAAATAAGTTCTTTTAAAAATTTAAATTTTTATGATTTTAAAGTCTTATAAAAAATCCTGGACTTGGTACATTGTTAAAATTAAATATTTTCTATAATCTATAAGTGTTACTGTATAAAACTATGATGCGGGAAAAAAGAATCGACTATGACGCATATAGTGGACATATATCCGGGTTTCCCAAGGGATCTGCAGAGAATTTTCAGAAACGTTTTCAGAAATATCGAGATTTGAAGTTGAAATAAAAAATCTTAATGATAAATAGATTATGGGCGTATCTAAACTGGAATTTAATCAGTGCTTTATAAGGATTTTTTGGGCCACCCAAACACAAAAAGAGCCAAGCACAAAAAGAGCTCATCAACTTATCATACTCGATGTTGTGTAATAATCGACATTATTCAATGGAGGCACACTGCAGTAGTTCTCTCGAGTAAATTTTCAGTAAATTAATGTTTGAAATAAAATAATGTTGGGTGTAGTGACGTTTGAGAGTGCGTTTGACAAAGCGAAGCCACCGTTTAGCGAGGTCTCATTTTATCAAGTCTTCATCATCAATTCCAGCGTATATTTGATCGAAATAATAGTCCTCACACATCCATAGTACCGCTGTTTTCGCAAAGTAAGATGACAGATATTAATCATTTACTCGTACATTTTTATTCTCTTAGCTTTTTTATCCTTCTTCACTACAGGCATTCGGCGCTTTGACAAACCCACGTTAATTCGAGACATGCACCAGATCATTTTCAGATCGAATATTTTCAATATACATGAATATATTCACATCAGACATTTGTTGATATTGAAAATGAGACCCATGTGATTGACCTTCGTTGGTACTACCTGTCACAGTCATTGGATATCGGTAAAACGGTATCGACATAGTTTCAATAAATTGAGAACAGAGTATCTTTTCCATATGCTAAACAAGTGTTAATTATTAGCTCGAATACCTTATGGTACTCTACCCAGAAAAATGTATGATTGATAAGCAAAAGTATTACTCGAGTAAATTTATGTAGAGATAATGCTCAATGGCCTTATCTCGAAAAATATTTATGTGTATTGACTCATGATGTTAGAAAGGCAAAAGCGAATAAGGGTAAAAAAAGAAGTGTTTTTGTTATCATTAGAGCAAACTTGAAGCCATACTTCAAGCACCATTTTTATACTTATAATTATATTGGACGTTTATTAAAATAAATTTTCATTCACTTTTTGCTCTTGCTTTCGGAACATTTGCTGATAAGGTTCACTTCATTTTCTTCACAAAACAGATGTCTCTGCTATTAAAAGTGTTTCTGACTTTATCAGAAAATAGACCCTTTCTGTGCTGAAGTTAGACACAGCCATAAGCGGTTAACGTGGTTATTCCTATACTTCAATGCGTTGCCTGGTCGCGTCCATACGCCATTGCGGGGGCCGGAAGAAGAAGACTATACACTGTGAAAGGTATTCTTTTTCGTTCCAGTACGTACGCTCTAAAGTATTTAACAAACAGAAACAAAAAGTGTGAGAATCAAAACACTTCTATATATGTAAAATTTTAGTATTGCATTTTTTATCCATAGCGTGTTTCAAAACGCTCTAACACAAATCACTTTGTGATTCAAACTCCAGTAATTTATTCAGGTAAAGTATTTTTCAAAAGAATGAGCTTATGGAACTAGTTCTGATTTATCATGCCACTTTTACCTCGTTATCAACTGTTATGTTTAAAAAAGACATTGTCATGAATTCAGCATAGTCGATAACCCACGTGTCCGTATGTTTTTCAGGAATATTTCCACAAGACTGCTACAAGAATCTCAGAAAACATTACTATTTGAATACGAGTGAAAATACTGGGTGGTATGTATTCTGCATTTCTTTTATATGAATTCAACTGAATTCAATTCCTTGAAATTTAAATGATAAGTTCTTTCGATGCAACCAGAATCGCTTTTATCTAATGTACAACATTAAGTGATTATTACAACTTTAGCTATGACCTAGCTCGTTTGATTTAAGAAAAACATGACTCCAAACTAGTGGCTCGAATTACTGCAAATGCGAGGGAAACATCGCCTTCATAAACCATGGGCACCAAAAATAAACGATCTCGGACAAAACACATAGCTGAATTCCGTTACAAGAATTTGTAGAAGAAAAGCACAATTGAGTCCGGAAATTACCGCTAAGCAATCCGACGTCTCAGGAAATCGTTCAGAGTTTTGATGAACTGTACTGTTTTTGATAGGTTCGAGGCTAAATGTAGACAAACAATATTGATAAACAAAAATCTTTTTCGTCTTAATGATTACTCGGCATCGAAAAGTGTGTACTCTTTAGACGGTCAATCTCTGTGTGTAAGGTGAAGCTATGTGTGACTGAGAATCCACTCGGCGTTCAGTTTATGTGTGTCAATGACACACTTTATTTCTTACGGTGTAGTTGGTAGTATTGATGATCTTTAAGTGTTGGTCATTTATATGCTCTCACACGGACTAGAAATGGAATACATAAAAAGTCGTTCGTCATTGTATGGCATCCCTTTACATTCATTAAATAATGAAATGCATGTAGAGACACCAAAAAAATTCGGTTTTCGCACCCGTTCTCCGCTTTTAATACATGCTAAGCCCTTGGTCATTATATCGTATTCTTTCGAACGCACAAAAAAAGTTAGAATACCTTTACATGGGCTAAAAGAATTCATTGTTTATATGCGTTTCATTTTTTAATATAGACGAAGACGTTTACAATTAAATCATACCTTAATACGCATTAAGATATGGAACGCGTGCAAAGGCATGACAAATACTCACTGTCTGTGTTCGACAACTTTTTTAATATATGTATAGGCGTTCGTCCTTCAAACGCATTAAAAAGCTTCGCTTTAATGTCTTCGGATTTTCTAATGCGAACTAATATCCGCAGGCTTCAACAATCTTCTTTAAACGCTCTGTACTCATTTTAAGTTCAACCTCGAAGCGAGTCTGAGGTGAATGATCCATTTTGATTGCATTATGTTCCCGAAGAGGAAACGGGGTAACACTTAATGCAATCAGTGTCTTAACCACATTAAGAAACACTTTGTTTTCCAGAGATTCTTTCATATCATGAGTTTTTGTTATGTCAAATCTTGATGTGTAAAGAATTACTAATAGACAACACTTTAGATTCATACAGTATAATCATATAAAACTTAAA